TGGCTGTCTTGTGTTGTGGGGATCGAACCACAGCAACCTGAGCCTGACTGCTTTGTTGAAGCAGCCACTTAAAGAACTGAGCTAAGGGGCAGGCCCCCCAGGATATTTTCTTATAATCGATTCCTTTCCCCTAAGATGGGTGCTACAGCCTGAAGCGGAAGAGAACAACCGTCTGCTCAGTGACACCAGGCCAACCCCTTCTATGTGAGCAAATGTTTCTGCCATCTAGTTACTACGAGTCCACGGAGGCTAACATCAATATCCTGGATGTCTAATTAGTGGATTTCTGCTAGTTGGTGGTGGCTTATCCTGAAATCTTCTCATCACAAGGTCACCACAAGAGCAAGAACAAGTGGCCTATGATGGGAGCCAGGAATTCTCACCAGCCCAATGGGACAGGGAGGACCTCTGAGGTCAGAAGCCTCTGCTCTGTAGGGCGGCCACAGGGAAATATGGGCCAGCACTGAGTGCTGATGGCAACATGCAAAACTATCTAGCTGTCATTATGGTTAATGTCTTACCGCTCTGCTTTTCTTCCATAATTTTTCCCCATTCAGTCTGAGTGCACCTTTGTAGAATGCATCTTCCACTTGGCTTTAAAAAAGAAAAAGAAGGGCAGTATTTCAAAATATAAAACAATTATGTGGTTTGCGGAAAATGCCTGAAATTAATACGTATGCTGACAGTGACTCCCTGTAAGTCTCCATTCAGAGTGCTGGGAAAGTGGAAAGTGAACTTTGGGTGTGTTTATCTACAACCAGGACCTAGGGCACTTCCGAATGCATGCTGTGCTCCTGCAGAGATCTGGAAATGCCTTGGGCAGCTGGCTGGAGGTGGCTTTTTGGTAGGCTGCAGCATGCAGACCATGCTCCTGTGCGCCAAGTGCCTGGCTGCAGCTCAGGGAGTCACACGGTCCGAGTGAGTGGGCGCCACCTTCCCCTCAGATACCTGCTCCACGCCACACATAGGGCACGGCCAGGAAGCAAGCCAAGCCGATCAGCCCTGATGCTGGAACATTCCAATTTGACAGCTGCTCATCCTCAGTGTAAACCACTGGACAAGCCGATGAGAGGAGAAACAGACAAAAACCGTGCCCTTTCCTTTTGATGAGCCTATGTCAGGTGACCCACACTGGGGCTCAGCTTAGTAAGAACAGCTGCAGCTACCACTCCAGGAGAGGCCCAGGATGAGTCACCAGACTTTGCAGAGCATTCAACAGACCCTAACTTGGAGCCAACAGGGGGATGATACCTCCATAGATTAAAAACTTGAACTATGCCATTAAACTAGCCCATAAAAGTACAAATTACAGAAGGAAATGTTTCTGAATTTATTCTCACCACAATCCTTAACACTGCATGTAGCATGCACACAGTGACTGCTGAAGGGGTAAGTGAACACTGAAGAGGATGAGCCTATTAAAGAAATCTTGGGCTGGGTATGGTGGCACACATCTGGAACCCCAGCACTCAAGAGAGGCTAAAAGCAGGAGGATCACAAGTGGACAATACAGCTACTTAGCATGAACCTTTCAAAATTAGAAAAGAAAGAAAGAAGGAAAAGAAGTAAAAAAAGGCCTGGGGATACAGTTCAGGGCCAAGGCCCTGGGTTTTTCTGGTTCAAACCCTAGTAAAAAACAAAGAAAAGGAAATCCTGAAAGTTACACTTAGAATTTCTATGTGCTATATGGATGCACATAGTACATTATTCTTTTAAGGAGACTTTTTATTTTTATTTTTTGGCAGAACTGGGGATTGAACGCAGGCCCTTGTGTTTACCCAGCAAGTGCTTATTCTACTGAGCTATCTCCCTGGCCTTTTGTATTTTTTTTTTTTAGGAGATTTATTCTGATTCAAGCACAAGATGTGATTGAAAAACAGAGCGTTGAAAATTTTAAAATAATTTATTATGTATGGTAAGAGGCATACTGTCATTAATACTTCCTTAAAATACTCCTTGCTTTGAACACATGTACCCCACAGTTCTTAGCCTTTCTGAAGCAGCTCCTAAAGCTTCTTTCACGGGTGTCTTTAGCTGCACTACTGGGGCTGCCTCAGCATCCTGAATTGATTCCAAACATTTTTACTTTTCATGGTCAGAAGAGCTAGGAGTCACATGGGGCCTCATCTGGCAATATGTGGATGAAAACACACCAAATGTTTTCAAGAGCCTGCTTTTCCACTGGGTGGCCCTGGGTTGCAGCATTCATGTTTTAATCTCATCTTGTGACTTGTAAAGACATGAAAGACTTCTAGAAACTGCTTCAGAAAGTGGCAAGAGGCCAGGCATGGTAGCACACGTCTATAATCCCAGCACTCTGGAAGGCGAGGCAGGAGGATCACTGTGAGTTCAAGATAGGCTAGGCTACAAAATAAGCTTAAGGCCAGCCTGAACAGTATAGTAAGACCCTGTCTCAAACAAACAAAAAAGACAAAAAGAAAAAAGGAAAGAAAAAGTTGCAGGAATGGTGGAATAAGTATGTTTAAAGTGAGGAGGAGGGGTGGCCAGATGGCTCAGCAGATTAAAGCGCCTGCTTAGGCAGACTCAGTGGCCAGGATTCAATGTCCCTGTGGCCTGCTAAGATGGCAAATGAGACTGGGTGTGGTGACACACATGCCTGTAATCCCAGCACTTGTGAGACTGAAAACAGGAGGATCACTATGAGTCTGAACAGTGTAGTGAGACCCCATAGACACTGTACTAAATACATTAAAAAATAAAAATTTAAAGTAAATAAATAAATAAATAAAGTGAGGAATATCTTGAGGGGTCCAATGCCAGTGTGCCTTTTACTATAATAAACTTTTAAAATTTGTCTTGTGTTTGATCACCCTTTGTATTTGCTTTATAAAAGTTAATATAGGCCAGGTGTGGTGGCTCATGTCTATAATCCCAGCCCTTGGGAGGTCAAGGCAGTACTGAGTTTGTTTTTTTTTAAATTATTTATTTATTTATTTATGTGTGTGTGTGTGTGTGTGTGTGTGTGTGTGGCCAGCTCAGCCCACCAGGGGGTGGGGCTGGCTGGCAGGTGGTGCTGGGGGATTGAACCGCAGTCCCTGTGTTCTGCTTAGCTTAGCTTGTTCTAAGTAGGTGCTTTAGACCACCAAGCCATCTCACCAGCCCTGTGCTTTGCTTTAGCTTAGCTTGTTCTAAGTAGGTGCTTTAGACCACTGAGCCATCTCACCAGCCCAAGGCAATACTGAGTTTGTGCAGAGCCTGGGCTATATAGTGAAACCCTGTCTCAAAAACTAAATAAAGAAAAACAAAGAAATAAACAAGCTATCAGCTAACAAAATCTAGATTAAAAAAAAAAAACCTAACCTATATTGGGTTTCTAGGCTGTTCCAGGAACTGTTATCAAGTGCTTTAGATGGATGCTCATTTAGTCCTAACAACTTAACTTCTAATTTCTAACTAGGTACTATTAGCCTATTTTATGATGATGATGATGATGATGATGATGTGTGTGTGTGTGTGTGTGTGTGTGTGTGTGTGTGGGGTACCAGGGATTGAACTCAGGCCCTTGTGGTTGCCAGGCAAGTGCTTATTCTACTGAGCCATCTCCCCGGTCCAGCCTATTTTAAAGATGAGAAAACTTGGGCAGAGAATGTAAGTGACTAGTCCAAGTTTACAGAGAATGAGGGGCAGAACTCCAGTAGTCTGGCTCAAGAGCCTGCACTGAGCACCACTGTATACTCCTCTTCTGACTGTGAGGCACTTCCTGACATCACAGCATTTGCGAAGCTGAGGTACACTAAACTTGCTGTCTACATCTAATACTCCTGTTTTCCTCACAAAGCTGTCAGTCAGTCCATGGCATTCAACTGTGTCTAAGAATCAAGGAAATGTGGCTCTTGAGATCTGCTGTCTCCTGGCTCGAGGATCAGTTTTCTCATCTGTAAAATGAAATAACTGAAATGGGTGTCTCAGAAGGTCCTTTCATGGGTGGTTACCCTTCACCATTACACGCCGAGTGATCTGTAATGTGGCACTGAAATACACACACGCCAAGTGAGTTGGTGATGGAAACATGTCATACTTACTTCCTCCCAATATCCAGGCCCGACTTCAGAATGACATCGTACCGAAATGACTGAACCACCTTCTCCAGGTCCTTGTAGTCTCTGACCACAGTGGGGTCATCCTCAAGCTCCTCTTCTTGGTCACTTCTCTCGTTAGAGTCACTCTCCTCATCACAGTCCTCCTCACCTTCTACTTTTTGCAGTTTTTTTTAGAGGACTTTTTAGAACTTACATTACTTTTGAGTCTTATAAAAAATGGAAAAATATATTCTGGAGATACTGAAAGTCCTGGGAGTCTCAGAGATAAAATATTATGGAAAAATGTTTTATAACCTGATGCCTTCAACTTGGTACTTGAAAAGTATAAATATTGATTCCAGGAAGCACAGAGTTTGTGTGAAGATGTCCTTTGAAGCACACCCCAGAGTCCAATCCAGGTTTTTGGCCTTTTAAGAACACCGGCAAACAACCTGACACTGGTCATAGCCATGGTACATCAAACCTGAAACAGACAAGTATTCAGTTTGATCTCACAAGGGCAATGCTACAGCATCCTGACACCAGGGGTGGGGAGAGGGTCACAGCATGGGCACTTCCTGTACAGCACCTACTGACACCCCCTATCAGTGTCCATGGAGGGCCTGCACATGGCATCTTCTAAGTACAATTCATATACTTAGCTCCTAGGATTGTCACAAGGGTCCCATGAGACTCTAGTGTGTGTGAAAACAGTTCTGCTCTTTTCCTTCCTCCTAATTAGCTCTGGGTGCAGACTGAGCTAATTTAAAAATATTGAGTGGGGGGCTGGTGAGATGGCTCAGTGGTCTAAAGCACCTACTTAGAACAAGCTTAGCAAAGCACAGGGACCGCGGTTCAATCCCCCAGCACCACATGCCAGTCAGCCCCGCCCCCTGGTGGGCTCAGCTGGCCACACACACACAAATAAATATACACACACACGCACACACACAAATAAATAAATTAAAAAAAAATAAATAAATAAAAATATTGAGTGGGACCACCCTGGGGTAGTGGGACCACCCAGGGCTCTCAGGACCTTCATTCTAGCCAATACGCAGGCCCGGTGTGTGAGTGGGACTTCCTGGTGCTCTCTGGAGCCTCACTCCAGCCAGTACTAAGGCCAGGTATGTGTGTGGAACTTTCTCTATCAAACAGGCCCGGTGTGGAACCCTGCAGCAAAACTCCCTGCAGAGGCTAGAGGCAAGACCCACCCAGCTGATCCAGGAGCAAAGCATCTTATCAGAGTGGCACAGCGGGTTCATTTCCAAGGGCTGCAGCAGGAAGAAGTGGAGTACAGCAGCCAAACTCAGGCACACCCACCTGGATGAATGTGAACTTGGTAGATCCTGGTGTTAAGGCAATAACTCTACCAAAGCTGTACAGTGAAAATCAGAAAATAGTCCTATACAAAATGACAAAGAGAAGGAACAAAATGCATTCTCAGGGGCTGGAGAGATGGCTCAGTGGAATAAGCGCTTCCCTGTCAAGCACAAGGACCTGAGTTCAATCCCCAGTTCCGCAAAAAAAAAAGGAAAATGCATTCTCAGGCTGCAAGTCCACCCAAAACAAATGCAGGAGACAATAGTATAGAAGAGATTGGAAATCACACACCTGAAATCTCTAAAGTAAGTGTCTGAAATAAAGAAACAACTGCATAAAGGTATAGAGGAAATCAGAGCAGAAATCATTTCTGAAGTAAAGAAATGATAACGATAATGAAAGAAGTACTAAATGCTTCTAAAGACACTGATAAAAAAATAGAGGAGAATAGAAAAATGATGGAATCCTTGAATGAGCAATATAGGAAAGAAATAGAATGCATGAAGCAGATTCAAAGAGATAGACAGGAAATTAAAACCTCAACCACAAGCTGGCAAAACTGTCTGAATGAAAGTGAAGACAGACTTTCAGACCTTGAAGACACCATTGTAGCTAGTGATAAGGTAAGAAAAGATCTCTTAAAAACGACTAGGATGCAGGAAAAAATAATTCAACATCTGCAAGATGATGCAAAGATGAACAACAAGACTAATAGGCATCAGTGAGAAAAGAGTCAATACAAATGAAATAAAAATATGGGCAGAATAGCAGAAAACTTCCCAAATATGGGGAGACAATCTGACATTCAATAACCGAAGCATATAGAACTCCAAATAACATCAACCCAATTAAAACCACACTCAGACATACAATAATTAAGATCTCAGAAATTCAGCACTGGAAAAGCTGCTAGAGAAAAGAAACAGATCACATTTAAAGAAAAATGCATCAGAATGGCAGATTCCTCTTCACAAACCATAAGGTCAAGAAAAGTATGGAGCAAAGTACTTCAAGTCTTGCAAGAAAACAAATTCCTATCCAGACTGATATACCATGCAAAACTTTCTTTCAAGTTTAATGGAGAAGGGGCCAGGGAGATGGCTCAGTAGAATAAATGCTTCCCTGGCAAGTGCAAGGGCCTGAGTTCAATCCCTGGTTCCAGGAAAAAAAAAAAAAGTTTAATGGAGAAATGAAGTACTTCTATGACAAAGAACAACTAAAGAATTTCATGATGACAAAGCCAAGCCTACACAGACTACTAAAAGATGTTCTAGAGAGGATCCAAATGACCACAACTCCATGAATGAGAATGGAAAGAACCTACTAAATAGGGCAAAAAATTAAACACAGGAGAAAAAGAGGCATACAACAGCAGTCTTCCAATTGTTCTTTTGTATGCAGCAGCAAAATATTTCTATCATCATACTCTATAAATGGACTTCTCCTGCACCCTATGGGTCATGATTCTGAATATTGTTTAATTTTAATTTTTGTTTTATGATTTATACTGTTTCTGACTTACAATCTACTTAAAAGACATGATATATTTTCTCCTAGTATTAGAAACTTTAAAAAAAGTATATTTACAATTTCCATTGACTTTATATTAGTTCTTCCTTGTCTTTCACACACACACACGCGCGCGTGCGTGCGAGCGCGTGAAATATGAATATAACCTGACATAAGATTGACACTGTTTTGTGGAAATCTTCAATGACCCTTTAATGTACTATAGAAATGATCCCTGAAAGTATGGCCTTTCAATGACCCTATAAATTGGTTCATCTAATATAAATATACTTTATGCATAACTACCATTTTGAGAGCTCTTTATTCTTTATCTAGGACAATACAGCAACTTCTCTCTTTTTTTTTTTGGCAGTACCGGGATTGAACTCAGGACGTTGTGCTTGCCAGGCAAGCACTTACTGTACTGAGTTATCTCCCCAGCCCTATTTTTAGTTTTCAAAGGTATGTTTGCTAAGTATAAAATTCAACGAGGGGGGCTGGAGAGATGGCTCAGTGGTCTAAAGCACCTACTTGAAACAAGCTTGGCAAAGCACAGGGACCGCGGTTCAATCCCCCAGCACCACATGCCAGCTAGCCCTGCCCCCTGGTGGGCTGAGCTGGCCACACACACACAATAAATAAATGTAATAAAAATAAATAAATAATTAAAAAAAAATTCAACGAGGACAGATTTTTTTCAGTCTTTTGAATAAATAAGTCTAGTTTCTTACCCACTTGCTCTTTTTTTTTTTTCCTAATGTGGAGTAAGATGCTATTTAATTTTGTTCTTCCATAGGTAATTTTTTTATGTATATGCTTTAATGATTTTTTTCTTTACAATTAGTTTTGGACAATTTCAGTTTTGTGTATCTTGGTATGATTTTGTTCATATTTCTTGTGCAAAATGTTCATTTTTCCTGGAAATGTGCTATAATTTTAACTAAATTCAGAAATTTTAAATCTGGGGCTGGGCAGATGGCTCAGTAGAATAAGCGCTTCCTTGGCAAGCGCAAGGACCTGAGTTCAATCCCCAGTTCTGAAAAAAAAAAAAAGAAAAAAAAATTAAATCTTTATTTATTGTCTTCTACTTTGAGAATTCTAATTATATTAAGTTTCTTGATTTTGACACAGAGAACTATTATATGACTGATCTATAAGCTCTTCATGTTTACTTTAGACAATTTTTATTGTTATATTAAGTTTGTAAATAATTTTTTTACAATGTGCAATCTATTATTAACCTCATGGTATGTATCCATTTCAGAAATATTTTTCTAAAATTCACTCTACATCTTATATCTTTCACATTTCAATATTTGTCTACAATTTTTAATTTGCTATATAATAATTAGTTTTTCAATAAAGTTAATGATTACAAAAAAAAAATATTAACACCAATTCTTAATGATTTGTTTAAGAAAGTCTGGAGCAAGACTATCTACTGACACACCCTAGATCCTTAAAATATTGACCCTGCCAAGGAAGAAGGGCAAATCATGACTTGCTGTTAAGCACCATAAATCTCCATCCCCAGCAAATTAGAGCAAGGTAGGAACAAAGCCGCAGCTCTGCACTTGACCTCCTTTCCATCTCCTTCCCAATAGCTGGCAGAGGAAGGGCCTGGGGACCCACAAACAAGGTGATCACGGAAGAGGCATGGAAGTCCTGATGTGCCAGTGGGCAATCGTTACTGCAAATACAGGTACTTCAAATACAGCCGGAACCAGTTCACTGTGGTGACAGTGGTGACGGCAGACCTCCCTAGCACATCAAGATGGTTTTAGAGCTCAGGATTTGACAGGAGAGAAGGGTTTCCACATGGTCATTATCCTCATCCTGCATCTGCAAATGACTGTCCTTTGTGTCAAGTTTATACTCTGGGACTGATATGAAGCTATTTAATGATTCTTTGCTTCAGCAGCACATATACTAAAAATGATTCTTACAATTTTTTTTTTAATTCTTACAAGATTTTTCTTTTCTACTTTTCATTAGCCACAAAGTGGAGAATGGCAATTACCAGTATGGCTCACACAAAAACACTCAGGTAACATTTCTGAGCCCTGCTTTTTTGGAATGAATGACAAATTTCAACTGTATTATTCCACCATTCTTATGATTCTAACTTAACTCTTAAATGAGAAAGCAGGCCCAATTTAAGGGCTGTTTTTCAATATCACTATAACTTTAGAATGTTATAAAATTCGGAGAGAGCTACAAAATGACCATGAACTTTTTTTTTTTTTCAGAACTGGGGATTGAACTCATATCCTTGTGCTTGCCAGGCAAGTGCTTATTCTACTGAGCCATCTCCCCAGCCCTTGACTATGAACTTCTTGAAGCATTTTCAATAGAAATGTTACCAAAAAAAAAAAAAAAAAATCCCCATTTTCCTTTCTTCTAATTTTCTTTTTGTTATTTGTTTTCAGACAGGCCCTCACTATATAGTTCAGGCTGGCCTTAAACTCACAGTGATCCTCCTGTCTCAGGCTCCTAAGTGCTATGATTACAGATGTGTACCACAAAATTAGGCTGTTTTGATTTTTCAAGAAAGGATCTATGTAGCTTAAGGTCATCCTTGATTTACAGTGCAGCCCAGGATGGCCTAGAACTTGGGGCAATCTTTCTTTTTCACCCTTCTAAGTACTAAGATTACAGATGTGTGCCATCATGCACACAGCTACACACAGGCATATTCTAATTTAATATATGATATCCATGCAAGGAACTTTAAATTTTACAAAATGAAGGGCTGGGGAGATAGCTCAGTGGCATAAGTGCCTGCGTGGCAAGCACAAGGTCGTGAGTTTAATCCCCGGTACCAAAAAAAAAAAAAGGTTTTGCAAAATGAGGGATAATGGAAGAAAACAGCATATTTCAAAAGTCCACAGATGCTGTTATTTCATGGATCACTATAATACTTTTTTTTTTTTTTTTCAGCAGAAGCTAACCTATTTACCTTTGCAATACCAAAGAGAATGGGGCAAGGTAGTGGGAGGAACTGTGGCCTCAGTTTAGAAGAAACCCCAAGAGGAGGCACCTCGGAGGTAGAGAAGTACTCATGGCTCTAGAAGGCCAGTCAGTCAAGTCCGACCATCCTTGGGTACCTGTGTTCCCACCTGAGTCCTGGTGCTAGACCACACTGCTGTTCCTTCTGGAGAATGCCTGCATGTAGGGCTCTCTACACATCACAGATAGTTATATTCCCCTACACTAGGATACCTTTATTAGCAGAAAAATCACTTTGAAATTGCACTTCCATGAAAATGTCCAAAGCCAAGTTCTGCCTTGGCTGCCCATGTTCTGTGATCTGCCTCTTATTCCAGCAGGCAAACACTGGCAGGGGGTGAACTTTAGGCTACATACAAGACATACTAACACCGGAGAAACACAGATCTTAGCTTTTGCTGGAGAGGATGAGTGGTGGGCACTCGAGGCCTCAAGGATGGAGCTTGGGAAGCCAGAACTGGTTGGGAAAGCCTTGAGTTTGGAGTAGGGCACCAGAAAGGGGATGCAACTCAGGTCCTCAACT